ACTGAAGTCTTCTTGCAACACCCAGGAAACTCGACCGCTCGTTATTAAAAATTTAAATACTTTGCCATATTTTTGCATGACTGTATCATCAAGTATAATATTCAATGGCCAGCTTATTTTGTAATTAAGAGAAATAGAATCCAATGCAGAAGGATCGGATAGCTGTGAAATAAATAAGAATATCATTACTTTTGAAAAAAATTGAAACGTCTAGAATCTACGGAAGACAAGTAGACAATATAAAATATAATTTACATGCAACTGTGCTGGTGTGTCTGTCGCCGAGAGACTGAGGAGCTCCGAGTTAACATAAACACTGTTGAATGAATTAACAAGTGCTCGTTCTAAAATATTCGTTAACGTAGCAGAATTAAACAGTTCAACGGGTCTCGGAATCTCGTACACGCGAGTATAAAGTGAGTCCGTCAAGCTCTTAGCAAATTCTCCGTTCAACAAGAAAAAACAGCTGCGCAGACTATGGAAATGCAGCAGCAAATTGTTTTCCTTGAGAAAATATTTAATGACAGCGTTGTTAATTAGGCAGCTCTGTATGTTAAGTGGAATACGAATTGACTTTTCGAGGTAAGCTTGAAGAGAAGTATGATCGATTAACTCGACATCGGCAACGGTCAAAGGAGCTGTTATTGACGCCGTAGATGTCGACTCCTCCCGCGCTAACACGAATAGATCAGGAAATGTTGAATCTTCCTCTATGACTAAAGGTGATTTCGTAAACGTTCGCGGAGAACTGGAGATATGTGTATCAGAGTTTGAGATTTCCATAGGAGATCGATCGTCCGAATTCTGCGTTTGCGACATAGGACTCTGTATCGTCGAAGCAAAATTATCTGTAGTACATGACATCGGTGTTTCTAAATCATTTCTTTCATTTAAATTTGTGATACTTTTAGCATCATCGACAGTCATTCTCGTCAGGTCATTCATATTATGTGCAAGCCTGATTTGTTGTACGTCGAGTTGGTTGTTATTTGGTGTCATTTTACCTTGTACAGGCCACGCGTGCTTGCTAACCTGCAACTCTGTTATATTATTGATTTTGGAAATATTTAGAAAACTGGGCCTTTCAATTGTCCATGAAGGATTTACACGATAGACAGATAAATTTTTCAAATCTTCATCTGACTTTTTGTTTATGGGAGGTGTCGCGATATGTAACTTATCGATATCTGTAGATATGATTGTTCCCACTGTACTTCTATTTTGTGATAGTTTTGATAAAATTCTCTCGTTTAATACTTCTAGTCTTTGATTATTCAAAAAATCATGAGCATCGGTTTCTTCGTTATTGTTGCTTGTTCTGTGTTCGCGTCGACCTTGACGCAAATCTCGGCCAGTTTCAACAGTTGATTTTGTCATTTCATCAGACGTAGTTCTAATAAACGTTTGATGAGATGTTCTCGAGTAATTTTTATTTTCATCTTCAAATGAAATTGGAGTTTCCGCTAAGGAACCTAATCTCGTTAAAGAATCAGTTTTTTCGGTGATTCTCAATCGAGCCTGTGCATCTCTGTTCGCCGAAGTTAATGCATCCACTCTCTCATCAAAAAGATTCATTCTCTTAGTACGCCAACGAGAACGCATGAAACGTTTATCAATATGATTAGTTAGATCCTCATAGTAATTCAAAATATTTGCTCTGTAAACAATAATGAAAAAATTCCAGTTCCAATATGATACGAACGCCAAATATAACTCAAATTATGAATACGATACCGTTCAACGCATCGTGCGTTCTCTTGCGTCGCACTTTCTTGTTTATTATGTTCAGTTTTGTTCAATGATTCGTTTTCTATCTTCTTTTGTTGCGTATTGTCAATCGAAAATTGTTCTTTTAAACTTAGCGGAACATTGCGTTTAGCTTGCGCTACTTTTCTCAATGCGTCATCCCGTTCCTCTAAAATCATTTTATATGAAAGATGGAAATGACATAAATGAAAATCATGCTTACCTCGAATTTTCAACATTGCGCTACGTTGAGCACAGACGACAAATTCTGCTATTTTTCTTTCCAATTGTTTTTGGTCTAGAATAGCTGTGGAAATGGAAAGTATCGGACCAAGCGCAGATTTACCTTTTTTTTCATATTCTCGACATCTCGATGATTGTTCGGATAGCGCGGTTACACTCAAGCAAACCTTTACTTCAGGTTGTTCGGTTATACAAACATGGCACACAGGATTCTAAATCCTCGTTCAGGGTCAGTATGATACATATGATACTATATAAGTAACTATATGATGCTTTGGTGACGCATTTTATTGCATGTGCATACCTTGGAATCGCATATTCTAAGAAGTCTAACTGTCTTTCCACATTGGAGTATTGATTCTACTAAATCGGTTAAAAAACCTGGAACAGCTTCGTTGCTCACCCTGAAACTTTTCGTCCAAAATGTATGCCCCCTATTCCGTAAATACTGTGGTTCCGTTTTAATCATAAATTCACCGTAAATATCATCGCATATACCCTCAAACATCCACTTCTGCAAAAACCTGCAAATAGATAAATGTAGTAAAAGTATGTTCCTTACCGTCTTTTCAACGATACATACCGAAAATAAACTTCACAACAGGACTTTAACAAAGAATAGAATACTAAGGCAATCCTGTTATCCGTCACTTTAATTGCTTCATTGTAAATTCTAGTGAGAATACTGCTTCCTTCTCGAAGCGTGCACTGGTCCCTCTTATAAGGTTCGCAAAGCTTAGCAACTTTAGTGATTAAGGTAGCCACTGGACGTACTTTCTGAAGCAACCTCAGTAGTCTCCCTGATTTATTTTCGCAAGTGAAAATTCTTAGAAGTGCTGCATGATAATAAAGTAGTAGTTCTTTGATATTCGAACACATAGTCTTGAATATAAGCCCTCCTTCTTGTAACTTTCCACTTTGCAATTTAGGTGTAACTAAATGCGATAAGAATTTGAAACAATTGCCCCAATTAATAGCTTCTTGGCACGTTTTTGCTAACGATTCTGAGCACACACCATATACGCTGATATTTTCTCGTATAGTGAATCCCGTCGTATCAGTGTAGTGAAAGGTACTTGACTCTATCCCAAGTAACATCGACTTTACATCATTAACAAATTTTTCAGTAGAAATTTCTTCGAGCAGGTGGACAGAGCTCATTATTTTTTCTGAAAGCAGTGGTAAACTGTTCATTTGTTTGATTTTTGCCAAATGTATTCCAGCTGTGGGTAAGTCAGTCAAGAACAATGATTCTTTCTTAGGTTGTAACTCTCCAAAATGTTCCCATGTTCGATGATTTAAAGGAGATGCATCGGTGATATCGACCTGATTCCATACGCAATTCCAAGAATCTATGGTGTTATTTATTTCGTCGATAACGCTACGATCAGAAGACTTCCACGTTTCTATAAGACTTTCATTTTCTACACCAACTGCATCTATATATGCAAAAGGGGAATATGAATAACTCGGTACGAGTCCCCTGTCAGAAGGAGAAACATGTACATTTTCATTGTCGCCTTCATAAGTCTGAAACAGGAAATTGAGATATTTAATACGTCGCGTAATTCCTGTATTCTTTATATGTACGTTGTATTATATAATTTGAAAGCTAGCCCTCACCACTATTTCCTGCAGAATGTATGGATCCAAGTTTGAATTTTGTATAAAATGTTGATTTGAAAATATCGACGTCCGCGACGACACTGTATCAAATACATGAGTGGACATAAAATCAGGTGCCAAAGATATACTGTAACACACAAAATTAAACAGATTCAGTATTATGATACATATGATAAAAATAGTTGAGATTAAAAAGAAAGTACTTCCTATGGAGCTTACTCTATAGATTCAGTTCCAATGATGCCTTTGGATTTTATTGCCTCGTGTAAAAAATACAATCCATTTATAACAGTTGTGGGTATCACCTGTGTAATTTGATGCTTCTGCATTTTCAATGTTGCTTCAAATCTATCGGATGCTATAAAACATTCCATGGGATATATTTGAAACGATGATGCCGCCTCTGTACCATATGTTATTTCTGGTGTAACAGGATTACTTTTTCCATAGCAAAATATATTCTAGAAATTATAACAGAACATACTGTAACATGCTAGACTCCTCAACTCTTATGTTTCAAACTTACTGTAATTGGCTCTGGAGCAATGCTATAATCTTTCAATTGAACTAAGAGTTGTAGCACAGAACATATTGCTGTATTTAAACACGAAGACTCTACAAGTTCTTCTAAGAGATGTTCTAATGTAGTAGCATCATTTGTACGCTTTAACCCCAATTTCATCACAAAAATATGCTTTTGTATTTCTATTACTGGATCTATCTCATCAAACTCTGTGTAATCTGTGAAAACGAATACAAGTGACAAAACAGTAACAAATATATCAAGAAATAGATAGAAATATTTGCTGTCACAGTAGAGCATTCATGCTACCTTGACTAAGAGTTCTCTTGTCAGCTTTTTTAAGTAGTATTTCAAAAGCTTTGGTCCGAAGACGTTTAATTGTTTTGACATCGTAGTCGTGATTAAATTGAGCATTTCGATGAAAAGGTTGTCTATACACGTGTAATATGTGTCTGCTCAATTCGGTAACGAGACCGTAAATATCAGCATCGCCGTTGTCATTCATGATTGTATGTATTTACATATATAATTCTTGATGGTAACTAAGACACTGAATCACCTAACACAGTATGAAAACAATACTTCTCTTCTATATACACAGAAAGTTGAGAAACGCGAGAGCAAGTATGCTGCATTTGTATACTTTTGACCAGTTACTTCAAAGTCAAAATAATCAGGATATGATTAAAATAGGAATGTTTTTTACTCGTAAGATAAGATCACTGATGAGATCACATTCTGTTTGGAAGTTTAATATTTCAATAATATTCATAGTTCCGAAAGGAACAATTGTATACAATGCTTTCAGGTTCTACGCCATTACTTGAACGAACCATATTCAACTTGATATTTTGCTATGTTCAAATCGAAAGCTATATCGCGCGTCTATGTCACGTGGTGATTTTCCATGTTCCGAATTGGGGACAAACAAAGAAGATAAAACATATTCGCCTCTTTGTTAATCGCTCGCAATAGTTACCAATAAGTTTAGTGACACTAACAAGAATGGGAAAAGTGAGAGAAAATGGCACTACGAGCAATAGGAAGGAAAACGAGACGTCGTTAAACGTACGTGTTATGCGTTCTTTCTGAATTGCACAACGCGTATACATATGTGCTGTTAAATCAATCGAATGATCGATCGATCGATTGGTCGATCGGTTGGTCGGTAGGCCGGTTGGTGAATTTGTGTGTCAATTCATTAGTTTAACCAGTTGTTCGATGTTTCGCGTGTCTTCCCGAAATCGTTGGTGTTCGCTCGCGAAGATTCACGATTGATCACTTTAATTCCCGGTCCTCAGCTTCGTTCCCATCCTGCGTACAAACGGCCTTTAGACCGCGATTCCAGCGTCGTTTCTACTCTCTTCAGCGGTAACTCGTTCATTCTCTAACCGCGTCTATGTATCTAGTTATCTGCACGGTTATCTATCTATCTATCTATCTATCTATATCTATCTGTCTACCTCTCCTTTTCCCCTCTCTCATTCTATTCCGAAGGAGGGTTCGCTCACTTGGTGCTATGTCTACGTACTCTCGTACTCAGGAGAGCGACGCGTGGGCCCTTCTGGCACTGAAGTCGGCACCGGCCAGTCCGACGAAGATGCAGTGGAACCCGGAGGCAAAAGGTGCACCGATCGCACGGCTCGAGGGTCGTGAGTTCGAATACATGGTTAGACAGCGACGTATCACTATCGGGCGTAACAGCAGCAAGGGTGAGGTCGACGTCAACATGGGCCACTCCAGCTTTATCTCGCGACGACACCTCGAAATCTTCTATGATCATCCCTTCTTCTTTATGATCTGCAACGGTAAAAATGGTGTTTTCGTCGATGGAGTATTCCAACGAAAGGGCGCGCCTGCCTTCCAGTTGCCAAAGACGTAAGATATATTACGAGCCTTTATCGAGCCGACTTAACCTTTCTTGCACGTTTCTCGCACGCCTCTCGCACGCCTCTCCGTACGCACATTGTAGGTCCTTCCCTACGACAGGAAGATTTTCTACCGCCTCTCGTGTACTTAAACATACCGTTTCAATAAGTCGAATTTATATGTCATTATCTTCCGATCCGGTCTTTCTCAAATGAAATTTTATTTGATAACAGCAAACGGTCAGTGCAGACCTCTATACGAAAACTGTTTTCTAAACAACCTGATCTAATCGTCTTTAACGTGGTAATCTTTTATCTGTTTTAATTCTGTTTAAGAATCATATAATCTTGTTTCCTGTTTGATAAAATCGATAATTTTCTATTTCTATTTTCTATACAAAGAACTATTACTTCTGTTTCTATTTCTATTTCTATATCCTTCTGAATGTTTATTGTTGTTACAGGTGCACATTCAGATTCCCGAGTACAAATATAAGGCTCGTATTTCAGTCGTTAGTGGACGAGCAAGAGCAAAGTAACGTACGCGTACCTTCTCCACCAAAACAAAGGGCCCCCTTGCCACCTCTGCGTATCAATATTCCGGATACAGGATACAGCAGTCCGTTTCCTTCCCCGACTGGAACTATTAGCGCTGCTAATTCCTGTCCTGCTAGTCCACGTGCTGGTCAGGGAAGGAGAAATATATCCGCAGATCTTCAAATGGTAGCAGTGTATGCAGCTGCTGTAGCCAATGACCCACAAAATACTGGCTTGGAAAGGCACGACGGTGGACAAAGTTCCAGCAGACAGATAAGTCCAGAGCCTGGTATCGAATCGCGTTATAGAAGCGGAGGTAGTACTGGGCCGAATGGTACAACGGCGCATTGTAGTCCACCAAAGGATGACTCTAAACCACCATATTCGTATGCACAGCTAATCGTTCAAGCGATAGCGTCTGCTGCGGACAAGCAACTCACGTTGTCCGGCATTTATTCTTACATTACCAAGAATTATCCATACTATAGAACCGCGGATAAAGGCTGGCAGAATTCTATAAGGCATAATCTTTCGTTGAATCGTTATTTTATTAAAGTACCGAGAAGCCAGGAAGAGCCAGGAAAAGGGTCGTTCTGGAGAATAGATCCTCAATCGGAAGCTAAACTCATAGAACAGGCCTTCAGGCGAAGAAGACAACGCGGTGTTCCTTGTTTCCGCGCTCCTTTTGGTCTCTCATCCAGGTATACAGAGTTTCGTATCAAAGCAGCTTGCGTGCATATTTGTCTCGTATACTTTAACCATTGAAAAACAGTTAACAAAATGTGTTATTGAAAACATCTAGGAGCGCACCTGCTTCACCATCCCACGTAGGAATCAGTGGGCTGATGACGCCAGAATGCCTCAGTAGGGAAGCATCGCCAGGGCCAGAATCTTACCCTGATAGTTCTGTTCCTTCTCCAGCTGGTCAAATGACCAGTCAGTCCGCGCCTGGATCACCGGGTCATCCGTACGCGCCCTCGAGCCAGTCGTCTCATAAAGGTCGTCTGATGCAGCAGATTACTGTTGTCACGAACGGCGTCACCGGAGATACAGGTAGAGAAGTAGCAGTCGATTATACTATATCTTCACGACCTCCTACGATATATTTTTTCGTATTTCTCTGCGTTCATCGCTTGCTCGATCTCCTTATTATTTTCTAAATATCGACTATGGGAAATGTACTTTATTTGTTACAGATAAATACGTCGTATCCGGAAATACTACAGAGGAACATTCTCTTTCCCCGGCCGGTCAATATAGTCCGGCTCCCGTTATTGTACAAACCACGTATAACTACAGGTACGTGTTAACTCGTAATTTCATCCGTTGTGTTCTTCTCACAATTCGTTGAAGCTGATGATTACTTTGTATTCAGCGGAAGCTTTATCGGTCCCGACGCAGGCGTCGGAGTTGTGAAACGCTCGCACGAGGAATCGGACAGTTCTCCAGGTTCACCGGCACCGCTTGCTATCGTTGAAAGTCCCGAACCACTCGAGCATCAACAACCACAGTCGAAACGTCAACGCGTTCACGATATGGACGACCATTGAATCGTTGTCCTAGGTTTCCGTTACGTAGGACATTTGTTACATCGCGCTATTCGCTCATCGTTGAATATATCTGCACGCGCGTGTACCTCATACCTGCTCATGTGTATGTACGCAGAAACGCGCGTACACACCTTTACCCAAACTTTTTCGGATCCATGCCCGTAATCCATACCACATCTAAACTTACATAAAACCTCATCTTCGTACGGGCGCGTACAAAACACGTACGCGTACACTCAGTGTTGTACTTTCATTCATTTTATACATAATGATTACTTTAGTCTGCGTATAATAAATACTCGATCCAATGTATTGTTTAACGCAACAAGTGGGACATTTGCAAGAAAAATGAGACGACAAAGGTTGTGTTCCCTCTTCGCGTTCAAACTTGTTTTAACGTTTCGGTTTTACGCAACTTTTTCGTAGTCATATCCTCGACGGTGCGCGCGTGTGTACACACGGTGGCTCAAAATATACGGTACAACCCGAAAGATCGCGATTCTTCGTTCGAAGAGAAATAAAATTCGTAGAATAACATGTTCCTTTGCGAGGCTTTGCTATCGATACGAGCGATTTCGAGAGTGACGCGTTCGTGCGCGCATGCGATTAATAAACCTGAGTTTCATCAACTTTACGTAACTCTTTCGTATTTGTACGCAAGGTGTATGAAATTACAGGTTAGCGTTATTCAATAAAACGTAACGTAGTATTGTTATATATTTTTTTTTTATTTAGTTAGTCGTCAAACCAGTGAAAACTACTTGTACTAACATTAGGATTCGTATCCCTTCGAGTAGTTGAAAATTCCTGTTTTTTAATTAGGAAATGTTTTCGATACTTTCGCTAGGAAACTTATTTTTATTAAAGTAAGCGTTTGGTCTCCGTGTATCGTACAGGAGTGTTGATAGATTAATATATGTGATCTATCGAAATGAAATTTTAGCAGCGTACACGTGAACCCTGTGCATTTTCAGAATCGATCATCTCGAAGTGGAAGACTCGTAAAAGAAACTTTTATTCTACGTTATGAATTCATTGCCGCGAAGAATCGCCGCGTCTTTAGTTGTATCGGTTATTTTAAGCTTTGATGGTATACATATATATATATATATATATATATATATATATATATATATATATATA